GTCAACAGACATCCACATTATCTGTCTTTTTCTTTCTCCTCCCTATCCCAGTGATTTTCCAAATGGATCGAATGACCCTCTCCTTTCTTAGTTAACCTAAAAACATGAGGGGTAGCTGAGCAGTGGTGGTGCATGCCTTTAATCCCAGCACTTGGGAGGCAGTGACAGGTGGATCTCTGTGAGTTCGTGGCCAGCCTGGTCTACAGACTGAGTTCCAGGACAGGCTCTAAAGCTACAGAGAAACCCTGTCTTGAAAACCCAACAAACAAATAAACAAACAAAATCCAAAACAAGCAAACAAACAAACAAAAATCAAGCATTCATGAGGGGTGGAATATTCTAGAGCTTTTTAATTCAAGAACTTAGAACTCCAGTGACAATTTCCCCCACCATTTACAAGCTAGATGCTGTGACACAGACCATTTGTAGGAGATGGCAAGCTGAGCCGTGTCCTGGCTTTGTGTCAACCCCTTGGTTGCTAATTTGGAAGATATGGCAGTTTCTAAGGGTCTCAACACATTGCTCCAAATATAATGAGATTGCGTTTCATCCTCATTAGAGCTTGACTCACTTCTGACCGAGGCAGCTGTCTGTCTGGGGTCAGCTCACAAAAGGATGAAAACATCCTTAAAGTGGATGTTTTCTTCCTTCATTTTAGGAGATTATGGCTTAGAGTAAACCAGTCGGGCCTACCAAGTTTGGATGTTTTATTTAAAACCAAAGAGTAAGGGCTAGAGAGATGACACAGTGCTTACGAGCACTTTCTGCTCCTCCAGTGAACTCTAGTGCAGTTCTCAGAAGTCTGGTTTGTCAGTTCGCTATCGCCTGTAACACCAGCTCCAGCGGTTCAGACCCTCCCCTGGTCTCAGAGGACACTGCACTCACACACTCAAACACACACACACACACACACACACACACACACACACACACACATACACATTTCAAAATAAAAAAGGAACATAGGCCTCCTGGGAGCAACCCTTCCCCCAGCACTTCCTAGCTATGTGATTTGCACAAGTCAATCAAATCCTCTTTGCCTGGTTCCTTATCCATGGAATGCAGAACTCGCAAATGTTTTGGTGATGACTAAATAGGATGCTTTGTTTTGGGAACAGTGCAAGCACGCTGGGAATATTGTAAGCCTTCATGACTTAGCAGTGTTGGGGCTGGAGAGATGACTCGGTGAGTAAGACATTGGTTGTTCTTGCTCAGAGCCTGGGTTCAGTTCCAGCACCCACATGACCGCACACAACCGTCCATAACCCCAGTTCCAAGAGGTGAGATGCTGTCCTCTAGCCTGGTCAAGATCCAGTCATACTCGTGGTACACACATATGCGGGCAAAACATTTGCCTATACACATAACAAAAATTAAATCTTTTATTAAAAAATATTTGTGATATTACTAGTTCAGTGGTTGTTTTGAGGAATTTAGTGTTATTTTGTGTTTTCAAATTAAAACTGAAACAAAATTTTATAAGCAAAATTTAAAGCTAAATGTGTTTGTATTCATGTAATATAGATCTCTCTATATATGTCTGTGTTTATATCCATGTATGTTTTGTATGTGTACTTTAATTTAGCCACAGAAATACATCTGGAAAGAAACTGTTAGCAAATCATTTTATAAAGAGGACAAACTTATTCTTTTATTTTTTATCCTGTTATAGCTTTTTAAATTATGTGTTAATTTTCTGATGAATTAATAAGACTGAAATAAGACAAAACAAAATCAGTCAACATTATAAACAACCTTGGAGCATACTTCTTCCTTATCCGAAAAAGAGACTAGTTGAATAGACAAATACAGTTACTCTGTAAGAAACTCCAGAGACACCTTTCCCAGCTGATTGGCATAGGCTTGTTGTTAGCTTTTGGTGGTAAGATCTGATTTTACTGCAACTCATAGCCTGGAATTCTTCTGAATTCCTTTTGCTTTGAATTGGTTCCATGGCATCTAAGAAATTTTGAATGTCTCTGAACCGTTTGTTCCCTTCCTATGCGAATGTGCTCATCTTGCATTTGAGTCCCATTTATAGGCCACTGTAGGCCAAAGACTTTGTCAAATTCTTCAGGATTCCCAATTGCTCCCATCATGCTCCCAATTGCTCATATCATGGAACATATATACAATATCTGCTTGATACATACCCTTGGATTAAATGGCTGGGATCTAGTATTACAATAAAGCCATTTGATGCTGCAAAAAAAGAACATTAACAACCTTCAATTAACAACTAACAAATTTCAAAGCTTTTCTGCAATCAAAGTGTATTTCTTATCCATGGAAGGCCGTACACATTGGAAGAGCTCTTTTTGCGTAGCGGCTAGTGATCTAGCCTTCTCAGGCTGACCTGACTTCTGAGTTTTGTACTGGAAAAAGGAGAGGAGACAAATTGCCTCCAGTGTCTGAGATTACTTCTTTTCAGCTTTCCATTAATCAGGAATTAGTGTCGAGACTGGACTTCAACCATAAGAGAGACCAGGGTGTGCAGGGGGACACAGGGTCACGCAGAAGTGATAGTTGTCTATGCCTCATCTCTATGCTATACCTCTGGGAAAATAATTGTGCTTCCTTCACGCCAGCGAAATCGACCGACACACGCGTGGACTCTGAGGCTTGTTTCATATCGGCACAAGCAGGCATATATTTAGTACTGACTATACCAGGTACTATTTTATGACTTTGGAAGACAGTAGGTGGATGGAGTCCAGACCTCTCACACTGCAAGAGCTGACTTTCTAGAGCAAGATAATAAACATAATGCAGAGTATGTCATTTGGAAACAAATATTGGAGACGTGTACATGGGGCATTGGGCCTGTACTGCTGTGTGGAGGTAGCGTGAAGCCCTGTTTGATGTTGTTTGTTAGTTTGTTTGGGTTTTTGGGTTTTTTTGGGAGGGGGGACAGGGTTTCCCTGACTGTCCTGAAACTAGCTTTTTAGACCAGGGTGGCCTTGAACTCACAGAGATCCACCTGCCTCTGCCTTTCCAGTGCTGGGGTTAAAGGACCTGTGCCCGTGAAGCCCTGTTTTAAGTGGATAGATCAAGAACAACTCACTGTGGAGGATAACATTGTGGTGAGAACCTGGAGACGAGAGGCATTTGGATGTCAAGGCAGAGAGCCTTGCTGTGGAAATATGAACAAACTTTGGGGTGGGGTTGGGAGGTCAGGATACTTGGTATCTTGGCAGGTGGCGGGGAAGTCAGGGTGGTGACAGCAGGTGTGCAGTCAGAGAGGACGGAGGTAGGATTTCAGGTCCACTGAGTACAGACCAACAACCATGTATGCTACTTTATTCTATGACGTATGAAGCCAATGAAGTTTGGGGGCTGAGGAGTAGTAATACAGACATCTGTAATTATATTGGGTTTAGACTTTGAGGTTGGGACCAAAGTAGAGAAACAGTTATTACCAAAATTCAAATGAGGGGCAATGGGGGCTTGGATCATTTTCATCAACTCCCCCCAAAGTTGAAGGAACACATTTTATTTCTAGTTTTTTAAAATAGCTATATGTCCGTCTATCTATCTGTTGATCTATCTATCTATCTATCTATCTATCTATCTATCTATCTATCTATCCATCCATCCATCCATCCATCGATCGATCGATCGATCGATCGATCTATCTATCTATCTATCTATCTGCTTATTTTTGAGACAGAGTCTCATATCATCCAAGCTGGTGTTGAACTTGAGATGTAACTAGGAATGACCTTGATCTTCTCCTGCCTGTACCTTCCAAGTACTAGGCTCATCAGCATGTCACCAGTGCTGGGGACTGGACCCAGAGCTTCAGGAATGCCAAGCAAGCACTCTGCCAAGTGAGCTAAATCCCTTATCTGGAGAGATTCACATTAAAGGGAGAAATTTTTACACACATATGAGTAACTTTTTTTTAATATAGTTTTATTTCGTCTGTTGCTTTTTTGAGATAGGATTTTTCTGTAAAACGCTCTGGCTGTCACGGAACTCATTTTGTAGACCAGGCTGGCCTTGAACTCGCAGAGATCCACCTGCCTTTGTCTCCCGAGTGCTGGGATTAAAGGCGTGAGCCACCGTGCAATACCTTTTGCTAATAAGTTGCGTCCAGAGATGGCTCAGCAGTTAAGAGCACTGTCTGCTCTTTCAAAGGTTCTGAGTTCAGTTCCCAGCAACCACATAGTGTCTTACAACTATCTATAATGAGATCTGGTGTCCTCTCGAGGAAGAGACCTCAGTCGTAATCATCAACTTAGACCATGAAACCCAATATGGACAAGTTCAACAGAACCGCCATGTATGGGCTATCCATGCATGCTTCAGCATTGCCAGGGCATAAATTTCTCTCTCTTTTCAAAAATATGGGTCTAACTGCAATGTCACTTTTACTACCTCAATTCTGATATTCTATTGTTTCATCAATGCGTTGGTTTAGGAAATACTTCTGCAATATCAGCAGCTTCCAGAGGCCAACTATTTAGACCTGACCGCTGCTTTTCAGAAATTTAGTGTGGTAGGACACACACACACACACACACACACACACACAAAACCACCCAGTAGTATCATACCATTTAACATCAAAACTAACCACAGCAGAGCATTATAATCACAATGGGACCTATTATGGAACATTATCCAGAGCCCACTAACTGCTGTTTGTTATCCGTACCAGACAAGCCTTTGGGCATAGTGATGATGTGGACACATTTGTTATAATGACTATGATTTAATGTTTTTCTGACAAATGGCACTGTAATAAAATGAGAGAAAATATTGAACTGTCTCGAAATGTTATAGATATGTTCTGCCATCCCTCAGCGTAAAGGATTCTGCCAGTTCACTACCTACCTAAAAGCCAGCTTCAAAAAGAAATGTTTCATTGTTAACCAACATTGCTGGGAACTCAGGCTCACTGATTGGCAGCCACTTAAATCCTCTTCGGTTCATTCATTGCATGTTTTCTTTTCTTTCTTTTTTTTTCTCTTTCCTTTTAATTATCTGCTCTGCAGAACCTCACACTGAAGCCGCCACTCAGCTCCCATGATGGCACCACCCAAACTGCACATCCTCTTCTGCCTCTTCTGCTGCCTCCCCCGGGTGCATCCTCTTCACGGGCAAGACCCTCCTCCTTTTGACTTTAGGACCCCAGGTAAGAGACGTCAAACTCCAAGTGACTACAAGATGCTGCATGTTTTGCTGTGTGAGGAAGTCCTCTTCAGAAGTGTTCGTCCAGGGGCTGGGGAGATGGCCCAGGTTAGTAATTGCTGTGCAAACTTGAGGACCTGAGATTGGACCCCCAACACTGATGTAAGAAGTCTCCAGTGTTGTGGGGGGTGGGCAGAGATGGGAGATACCTGCAACTTACTGCCTAGCCATCCTAGAAGATTGGATGAGCATCAGGTTCAGGGAGAGATCCTGCCTCAAAAAAGCAAAGATGGAGGCTGGTCGTAAAAGACACTGTTCATTGACCTCTGGCTTCTACAGTCATGTTTATACATATGCACGTGCACCTGAACATGCATGTGGGCATGTACACACTATCAGGGGTTTACCACACATGCACATAAATATGCACACATGCATGTAAATATATTCAAGGAAATATTCATTGTGCCGTAGGGAGGGACCTCTCTCCTCTCTATGACCCCAACCGAACAAGCGTGTGTTTTCTTGTCAGCTTGTTATGATCATGGAAAACGCCCAAAATATTTCCACCTCCCCTTTTTCTGTTCCTATTCACCACCTCCCAGGTGCAGGAGAACACTTGCCTTTGGCATTTACAAGGCAGTCTTCATCCCTGCTCTTGTCTTGACAAACAAGCTTAGTCTTGGGGAGGTGGGGAGGTATGTGAGGAGATAACAATCTAGATTCTTGGGGTCCAGAGGGACTGGACTGTTTCTACCTAGGTATGAGGAGAAGCGGAAGCAAGTAGATGCCTGGAACTCTAAAGAAGAACAGATGTGGTCACTTTCTCTCTTTGTGTTAAGAGGGGATAAAAGAAGGGGAGGTTTAGACCATACGAGGAAGAGTAGCCAGTGTGGAACAGGTATGTCTCTTGTCACCAAGAAGGACCTATCTTGCAAGGACATTGCTTTTGAAGTATTGTGAATGCCTGTTCATCTTAAAGAACTGTGACACATGTAGTCTCAACCTATGCTTGTGGGGAGCACAGCAGGAGGTGCTAGAGAATGATGTCACACTGTCTACACCCACATCTATATACCTGAATACATGTACTCACTTTGCCTCTAGCTATTTGGGCTGGTTGGGTGACTCCTTCCCACGGTATCTACAAAAGGGCTTGCATAACTCCGTGTCATCGAGATACACTTTGCCCTACTTCATAACTGGGAAAATGGATGAATAGATAGGAAAAGGACTGGCCTTATATTGATATTTGCACAGGTAATTAAATAATATCTCAGAGGTCCATTCATCCCTCAACCCCTCTTAGGAAGTGAAGGCCTATGGATATGGCGGTTACTAAGGTGACTAAAAGCTTGTCATCAGGGAAGCTGTGACCTACTTGAAGTTAAGTTTTCCAAGTATCAGGTTCAGGAATTGGAAACAGGACACAGGATGGGTACATTTTATATCATTTACTCTTATGGTGCAGGGTGAGACTTTAAAGACATGGTTTCTATCCTCTTATCTTTAAACATCACTAGAAATCTGTTCTTTGAGCATAGGGTTATTAATCATTTGTCTTCCTGGGACTTGTGTTAGCCTAATGCCATACTCATTCTAGATATTCGAAAGTTGATACATGTATACTTTTAAATTGTAATAGATTAAAACAGTAGATGATTAATTTCTTGTTAAAGGAATACATAGAAAATATAGTTCATTCAGGTAATGATGTTTACTTGTGAGTGCGTGTTTGTGTTATAAGTGCCTGTGTGTCTGTGAGTGTCCACACCTGTATACATACACTGAAGCCAGAGGAAAATGTCCAGGATCCTGTTCTAGTGCTTCCCACCTCATTCCCTGGAGACAGGGTCTCACACTGAACCTGAAACTAGACTGACAGTCAGCAAGCTCCAGAGATCCTCCTGTCTTTCTGCCTCAGCGCTGGGGTTTCAGGTCCGTGCAGCCAGGCCTAGGGTTTTATGTGGTGCTGCAGATTTAACTCGGGTCCTCATGCTTATGCAGCGAACACATTAACTCGTGTCCCCACATGGGCTGTTGGTTGATTGGTACTGCCTTATGTAGCCCAGGCTGATCTCTAACTCACTAGACAGCAAATGCTAGCCTCGAATTATTTATCCTGTTCTCTTTGCCAGCACTGATATTCCAGGCATGTATGTGCTGCCATACCTGGGAAAGCTTACCAGTATGGGCTAGAGATACACTACATGCTGATGAAGGACAATAAAAGTATAAAAGAGAATGCATTTTTTCCAGAATGTATACATCCCAAGACCTAGGACATTTGACTAACAAAAATATATACCAAGTAGCATCCTAAGAGTCCAAAGTTCCTATTCAAATAAACTTGAAGATTGGGAAAAGATGAATTCTGAGCCCCAGTCTATAGCATCCAAGATGGGTTGTTCCGACATCTCTTTCTTCCGTCTTGTGATGATTCCAAACAGCTAGGAGGATGGAGATGCAGGCTCATGTGATGTGCGAGCTGTAAGGCACCCTTTGCTGCACCCAGTGTAGTACTTGTGGCTCCTAGATTTGGGTGAACAGGCTCCTAAAGTAGAGAAGGTCAGTTGTTTGAGGAGGTTCCCATGGTTTCAGTAGAATGAAGACCTCACACATGGGCTGTGGAACTCTACTGATAGGAAGGTCTCCAAAGCAGCTAAGAGTTCTCTGGGGCTCCTCACTGAGCTGTGAGAGCCAGTGGTCTCCCCACTGGTCCAGCCCTGCTATGGCTGCCTATAAGTGGGGTACAGCCGCACACTGGCTGTTCACCACAGAAGGAGAGGCAGAGGTGTCTTCTACCCCATTACTCTCTAGACTTGTGGCCCCCCAGTTACACCAAGCTTGACTCCACAGATAATCTTACATGGGAGAGGAAGAAGCTTTTGTGATTCTAAAGAAGCCCCGGAATGTTCACCAAGAGGAGGCAAAAAGAAAAAAATAAAAAGTCTTTGGAGAAATGCCTGGAATTTTGAATGTGCCCTGAAGGAGAGTGGAAGCCCTAGGGTAGATCTGCTAAGCCCTTCTGAGGACTCCCCATCCTTTGAGTGGTGAGAGGTTACCGGCTCTGGAGAAGGGAAGAGTAACGGCAGTTGGCTTCCAGTTACATCCACAGCCAGTTTTAGGCACGCGATGAATACATTCCTATCATCTGCCTTCATCCGCACAGCTGTCTGGAGGTTGGTTAAGGGCCTTTATCTCCCGCTCTACCAAAGGCACCAGAGAGAGGAGTTGAATTCCTTAGGCTGGAGCACCATAGCTCAGTATGTGAAACAGGACCACTTGGGTCCAGCACTGGACTTCACTCCACTTTACCCTGTCTTTCTTGAAATTGCCTCCTACCATTGCTTAGTCAGTGTGGTGGGCCAAGAGGTCTGGACCACGACACAACATCTCTTCAACTTGAGTCAGCCTACTTTGAATCTTTTTGGTTCAGTTGAGTTGGAGTGAGGACTGGGATCTATCTGCCTTGGTCAGCTCTGGGTGAGACCCATGATGCCGGCCTGAGGATCAGCTTCGCGTAGGAGGCCTTGTGTATTGAAGCCTCCGTCGGCCGGCTGGTGCTCCACATCTGAGTCATCAGTGGAGGATGTGAAGAAGATTACTGCCAAGATGCAAAACCTTGCTGAGCAATGCTGCGCGATAACAAGGCGGGTGCCACACTTCACATAGCTCTGGGTGTTTGGCAGTGCAAAACACAGAGTCTGTGCAGCAGAATAATCAGCTCCCATGGTTCAACAAAGTACATGCTGAGGGCAGACTCAGTGTATAAAGAAACGTATGAGTCTCGATTTGTTGGCATTTTTTAAAATATTTATTTATTATGTATACATTTTTCTGTCTGTGTGTATGCCTGCAGGCCAGAAGAGGGCACCAGAGCCCTCTACAGATGGTTGTGAGCCACCATGTGGTTGCTGGGAATTGAACTCAGGACCTTTGGAAGAGCAGGCAATGCTCTTAATCTCTGAGCCATCTCTTCAGCCCCCCAACATCTTTTTTTTTAATCATTGTATTTGATGTATTAGTGTTCTGCATGCCAGAAGAGGGCATCAGATCCTATTATAGAGGGTTGTGAGGCACCATGTGGGTGCTAGCAATTGAACTTAGGACCCCTGGAAAAGCAGCCAGTGCTCTTAACCTCTGAGCCATCTCTCCAGCCCATGTACCCAACATCTAAAAGTAAAGCATGGATTCTATTGAGATTTAGAAAGGAGGGCAGTTGCAGGTATATGGAAGGGTTTGGACTTCAGAGAAAAAAAGAGTGGGTGGGTCAGAGATGATGCGCTTGAATGCAGGACAAGAGAGGTTGGTGGTGTTTCATCTTAGTGGCCCTCCTTCGCACAAAATCGTACTGAGCCTGGTTCACCAGCGGTTGTATTTACACTAGAGGGGCCAGCTCTTGAGCAGTAGCTAATCTGGGCCACTATCCTCATTCTTATGATCATATGGAATATGCCACACCTACAGAATTCCTGATTCTGAAGAAGAAATGTTTGTGTCTGGGATTAGGGATAACTCCCAAATAAGAACAAATCATAGATATTATGTGAAGACTTGCTTGACTTCCGGGATTCTGGCCTGCAGTTCACAAGATAGAGAATTCTAGGGTTTGGGGTGGGGCTGGACAGTTGCGGAGTGAGAAGAGGCAAGTGGGAGGTGGCCATTTAGTTTCATCTTGGCCACTGGCTTTGATATTGCTATGGAAACATGTCAGGTCCAGATGTACAGAAGTGTATGCTTGCTGTGCACAGTGGAACATGCCTTTAACCCTAGCACTGAGGAGGAAGAGACCAGCAGGCAGACCTTTGTGAGGCTGAGGCCAGCTTGGTCTACAGAGTGAGTTTCAGGACACCTAGGGCTACACTGAGAAGCCCTGTCTTCTCTCTCTCTCTCTCTCTCTCTCTCTCTCTCTCTCTCTCTCTCTCTCTCTCTCACACACACACACACACACACACACAGAGTATAAACACTAGTCAGAAGATGCCTGTCTACCTACATCTTTTTATTCCCCAAAGCCCCATACATGGTTTGTACAAAGCAGGCCCTTGAGTGGGGTGAGAAACGAGAGGGTGCTGGGGAAGTGAGTCTATTGGTAATGCGCTCGTCACACACGTATGATGATCAGATCTCAGACAGCACCCACGTAAAATCCGGGCATATGTCTGTAACTGCCAGTGCTGGGAAGGCGGAAACAGCTGAATCTGTGGCGCTCATTGGTCTGTTACCCAGTCCCATCAATCAGCTCCAAGTTCAGTGAGGATTGTGTCTCCAAAAAATGGGGTGGAGAGCAACTGAAGAGAAGAGCTGACATAGACCTCTGGCCTCCACATTCACAAATGAAAACACACACACACAGAGCCAGAAGCTATGAGCAGTACGTATTGCCTTGGAAGTCGCGGAGGATTGGGTTGCTGCCATGTGCTTACATTATCTGAACCTATTTTTCAGCATTGTTCCATAAGATACAAGCCATGATGTCTACTGCCAGCTCTGGCCATAGTAAAATCCCCAAAGGAAATGGATCTTACCCCGTCGGTTCTGCAGACTTGATGTTTGGTTATACTAATGAGGTAATGCCTTCCTTTGCCTTAACCTGAAATCCCAAGGCCTTGCCCTTGGTCTCTCGCACATGCACACGTGATGACTTGATCTTGCACTCACCTGGGAGTGACTAATTGGCTGTTCCTGTTGCGACACGTTTGCAACTGTGTTTTCCTTCAGTTGTTTATTGTCTCCTGGTTCAGAGGTTAATGTCCGGATGAATCCTACTTTATCTCAGATTTTTCTTCTAGTCAGAGCATGGCTCTTCTATCTTCTCCTTTGTGGTTATCTTCAGGCACTCGGCAGCTGGAACACTTCCCTAGACTTCTTAAGGAAAGACAGGGATCTGGGTCCTGGTGATAAACACATTCAAAGTGCTGCACCTGGACTGTGTTTGACTGAGTCTGTTCCTTTCTTTTTCCAACAGAGCGTCTTCTTGCGATTGTACTACCCATCTGAGGATCAAGAGCCCTTGGACACTGTTTGGATCCCAAACAAAGAATATTTTTTTGGTCTTAGTAAATTTCTTGGAACACCCCATTTTATAGGCAATTTTTTGAACTTCTTATATGGTAAGATTTCTATTGGTCCTGTTCTGAAGTTATATGCATAGTGTATGTATGTGTATATGTATGTGTATATGTGTATGTGTGTATATATGTATATGCATGTGTATATGTGTATGTATGTGTATATGTGTATGTATATCAGAAAGAAAGGTTAGAAGCAGTAAGACTACGGTTGATTTTTCTTCTACGATGGTAAGGATGGAGTTTCTTTTTCCTTTTCTAACTGTGTGTATGGTATGTGTATATGTGTGTTCTTATGCACATGAGTGCATTCATATGAAGGCTAGAGGACAGCCTGAGGTGTTATTTCTTTGGAACACAGTCCACCTCCTTTGAGACAGGCTCTCTCACTAATCTGGGGCTCACCAGTTAGGCTAGGATGGCTCATCGGCGAGCCCCAGGGACCCCCTTCTCAGCCTCTACAGCACTGGGATTACAGGCATGTGCCTCGTATTTTTATACCACATGCAAGGGCAACACTTTAACAGTTAAGAGATCTCCCTAGCCAGAGATACAGGATTTCCTAAGGAATTAGGCAACATTGAGAGAAGCAAGTGTTCTTTATCATTTTGCGAATTCTGATTTGGATGGGATGGGATGGGGTAGGGATGTCATATTTGCCTTAACATCTTCTTATTCCTGCTTCACAATTTCCCTTTTTACATCTTGTGGTGGAAGCCACCATGTGGTGAGAACAGCAAATTGTCTGGTGGGACCATTGCCTGTACGTATTGTTTCAGACAAAAATAGAAAAATAGAAGTCAAGCCTAACTACCATCTCATTTATCATAGGAGATCTCAGTTCCTGCCCATCACCCACCCACAGAGGACCCACTTCTGTCCTACAGTCTCTCCTACAGTCCAAGGCAGCCATTATTTTATACACTCGCATTATATCACGGAGACTTTCCATTCCTATCATTTGTTAGATTGGACGTAAATTTGAACCTATGTTAATTATACCTTCAAATTTATCCTTCAATCTTGAAGAAGCCACTTGTTGGTCCTGGCCACCCAGAACCAAAATAATCACACAGAAACTGTATTAATTAAAACACTGCTTGGCCCATTAGCTCTAGCTTCTTACTGGCTAACTCTTATATTAATTTAACCCATTTCTATTAATTTGTATATTGTCATGTAGCAGTGGCTTACCGGCAAAGATTCAGCATGTCTGATTCTGGCAGCTCCATGGCTTCCCTCTGACTCTGCCCTTCTTCCTCCCAGCATTCAGTCCAGTTCTCCTCACCTACCTAAATTCTGCCCTATCAACAGGCCAAGGCAGTTTCTTTATTCATTAATGGTAATCATAGCACACAGAGGAGACTCCCACACTTCAAGTTTTTCAGCTTTGGGAATTCTCTTTAAGCTTATCTTCAGATTTTCATAGAAATTACTTTAAAGCAGGAAAATGCCCTAAACTAGAAAATACTGCTGCATACCATGGCAGCCATCACATGCAGTCTTCATGACCACATATTTGTGTATGAGATAATGACATCCAAATGATCATACCACACAAATGATTAAAAACACTAAGGTGTGAAGGAAGGGACGTGGTATTTTCCAGTCTCGAGCTTTTTACTAGGACTTTATATACAGAAAATGGGCGCTTTATATAAAAAACTAATTAAATAATGAGTTTCGTTAAAAGTGCCTAAAATCACAATCACTCCCACCATTTTGTAGAAGAGGAATCTGAAGCTGAGGACCATGCCCGTGGTCAGTAACTAGTCAGTGGCCATTTCATGCACTGGCGTGTGAATTCCCCATCTCTCCTATCTTTTGCTGGACTGTGAAGCACCATGAGAGGAGTCTTTGGGTCTCAGGTCCTGGCTATCAGTACAATGATCTAAGGTCTCCTGCATGGTTAGTTTTAAATTAAATGTTCAACATTATCTCAAAACCTCAAAATAGAAGCAAGCAGTGTCCTCGCAGAATATACCTGTAAGTAGGAAAACTTCTCCCCGTGGGGCCAGTGACAGTGACTAGTAATGCACTCACGGGGGAAAAGACCCACTGAGGTCCCTGGTTGGTGAGTGTCTAGTATCTGGCTTTTTAAGTGAGAGTACCAATTTTTAAAATCATTGTTAAGACTGCACGGGTTGGGGATTTGTACCCAGAGGATAGAAATTTGTTAGCTAGCAGCATTCAAGCCAGAGGAAATACTGATTTCCTTCCTACTGTTGCCCAGGTTCAATGAAAACGCCTGCAAGCTGGAATTCTCCTCTGAAGACTGGTGAAAAATATCCACTAATTGTCTTTTCTCATGGTCTTGGAGGCTTCAGGTAATGCTTGGGAGACCAGACAGTTTTAGTTCGGAGCCATCCCTGCCTAGATTTGTTGCTTTAAAAACAAGCAAACAAACAAAGGATCAGATTTCAGAATGTAATGTTGGCCCATGTTGGACACTTGGGGTTCCCACTGACTGTGGGACTGGTTGAAAGTTGGGTAGAATCTCTTCTCAGCACTGTAGTCATAGTCTAGAAAATTATTTGATTTCAAGAAACTGATTTAGCCTGCCGTCTATAGAAAAGCTGTCTGGGAGCAGAGCTACGTGCATTCAGCTTTTTCGCATTGTTAATGGTTTGCCACAGCAGGATTGAGCCTTCTTTCTCACACAGCCGGAAATAGCTACTCTGACCTGCAGAAGGCGGGGCTTAAAGTCTACACCATCGACCACATCACTTCCTGTGCCTCCAGCAGTGGAAAACACAGTTCCCAAACATCCTTTTTCTATTTCTCCGGACATGGACTGTGGAACTCATGGCGCGGGAAAGAGGTCGTAGAAAATGGAGATGTGGCAGGGTGTGGCTGTGACTGAGTTATGTGCCCTCTTCTCACAGTCTGATCATTTCCAGAACACTAGACATGCTAAGTAGCCACACTGCTTTAAGTAGGTTCAAGGCACCGAAGGTACATGCGTTCACTTGACCACAGCTGAGAAGACTCAAGGGCCTGAAGCAGGCCAAGCAGCTAGGAAGTGATGGAACCTGACATACCTTCCTATGTATGGCCTCCCTGTGTGCATTACCTTGTCAAAAGTTTCTGAAGTTGTGAAGGAGGTTCACTTCCTGCTCTTGCAGAGAACCCAAGTTCATATACCAAAGCCCCCATCAGGTAGCCCTCAGCTACAGATGACTCCAGCTCCAAGGGATACAATGCCCTCTTCTGGCCTCCACATGCACCTGCACACGTGTGCACGTACACAAATAAAAAAATTTAAATCTTTGAAAAAGAAAATCTTTAATCCCAGCACTGAGGAGGCAGAGACAGGTGGATCTCTGTGAGTTCGAGACCAGCCTAGTCTACAAGAACTAGTTCCAGGAGAGGCTCCAAAAGCTACAGAGAAACCCTGTATTGAAAATCAACAACAACAACAAAAGAAATAAAAAGGATTATATGAATGTTTTAATAAACACCAAGAGGCTGAGCTCTCACACTAAGGCTACCCGCCCAGAGCAGTGAGCCTCAAGGTCCTCAGTTAAGAGAGCCCTGCACCCTCAGCCTGGGCTCA